AAAGTACTGTGCACTCTATCTGGTCTGTGGGAACAACTAATATCTGTTCGTGCTTCTTAGTTTCATTGTTGTTTCTTATGACTGCTGGGATGATGGAGACCAGGCCTATCCAGAGCTACCTGTGTCAGACAAACAGTAGCCACTGAATCAGTGGCATTGTATTCTTTCTGTGTGACCTCCAGTTCTTCTGTACTCGAGTGCTTCCTTCAAAAGACACTAGAGTTATCTTTTTAAATGACATTTTCCTGCTTTTAGCTCTTCATTTCTTAGAGGAATGAGTGTGCACTTAATCTGGCAAGCAAGGCATCCCCCAGTCTCATCCGCACACCCTCAGAAGCCTCACTTCCCATCTTCCCTCCCCCTCAGTTATGTGACATTTTTTTCCCCACTTTGAATATGCCACAATCTTTTACTATCTCAGGCATCAGACTTGCTGTTCTGTCTGCTCATATGTCTTCTTTACTCTTTTTTTTAAAAATTAAAATTTTTTTATTAGTATATGTTTGCAGTACATAATGATTACATTCCTGTGTGGATTTGGTACATGCGCATAACACATCTTAATTCCTTTTTCATCCCCTTCCCTGCTCCTCTCTCCCCCTCTCTCTATTCCTTGATCCCCTTTCCGTTTGAGAAAGGTCTATCTCCCTACTTCCTATTACTAACTCTTATTCTGCTCTTTATATTTTGGGTTTCTCATGTAAGAGAAATCAGTGTGATTTTTAAGCACGTTATGTCTGATTTATTTCACTTAACATTATGTTATGGTCTCAAGGTGCATCCATTTTCCTACACGCAACTCAAGTTTATCTTTATGGCAGAGTAAATACTCCATTGTGTTTAAATACCACAATTTCTTTATCCATTCATCATATGCTGCTTCCAAGACTTAGCTATTATGAATTGTGTTGCTATAAACTTGGGAATGCATGTAGCGCTGTTATATGATGTCTTGAACTCTTTTGCCTTCCCTACTCTGTAACCATTTATCTATTAAGGTCATACCTTCCAGAAAGCTTGCCAGGTCCTCCAGTGAGATATCCTTTTTCTCCATGCCTGTGACACTTATGTGTAGCTTTGTAATAATACTGAGTTGTAATTTTCCTGTGTCTGTGTTTGCTCCACTAGACAACATAATTCTTGAGGGAAGAACTAATGTTCTTTTTTATTTTTTTGTACTGGGGATCAAACTTGGGACCTTGCACTTTCGAGGCAGGCACCAGAACCACTGAGCTAAATCCCCAGCCCTTGGACTAATGATCTGATCATTGTCATAGTCCAGGGCCTAGCATTTGATATCATTCAATCAGTGGTGAGTAGTGAGTGAGGTGTCCTGGAGACAGTTCCAAAGCAGACCTTCAGAAATGTTCTCAGTTATCAATACTTTTTTTTTTTTTTTGGTACTGGAGATGGAACTCTGGTCCTTGTGCTTGCGCAGCAGGTGGTGAAATCACTGAGCTAAATCCTCGGCCCTAACATAATCTTTTTTTTTTTTTTTTTTTTTTTTTGTGGTACTGGGGATCGAACTTGGGTCCTTGTGCTTGCGAGGCAGGCGGTGGAACCACTGAGCTAAATCCCCAGCCCCAGTTATCAATACTTTTGGAACAAGGGCGTGTCTTTCCAAGTTATCTCTTAAAAGGACAGTATCAATCAAACATATTTGATATGTTTATAAGGAAGCCTTTCTGATTGATTTGTAGACAGATGGAGAGAAAAGCCACCAAACTTTGTTAAATTCTTCCTTGGGATGAGATATCTGACATCCCTATAATTGGATCTGGATCTCATCTATTCAGAGAGCATGGCACAGGCTGGAGGCAGATGGCACCTTTGAGATGTCATTTACATTAGTCATAGTGAATGAGCAAAAAGGAAGGGCAAGAAAGGGAAAACTTCCTTTTCATCTCTGCTTGGGTGACAAAGGATCCCAGAGTGAGGAGGAAATTCACTTTATGGGCAACCCAGGCAGAAGGTGAAGGGTGAGATATTTTCTTTTCCTTCTGGACCACGTGGTGAGCTGGCAGCAGAGCAGTGTGTGAGTGAGCAGAGATGTTGAGATGTCTGGGGCTTTGAAGGACCGGAGAGGAAGGGGCCAGGAATATTTGGAGCTTGTTCAGGTGGATAAAAGACTGGTGGAGCAGCATCTTCATGCTACCTACGGAGGTGAACTGATAAGATTGTTGCATCTGTTTGGTTACCCATGTGCACAACTGGAGTATTTCTTTGAGTTTTGAATTATCTGTGTCTGAGGAGAAACATTGATATGGAGATACAAGGATTCTCTAGACAGTTAATCAGATGATCCCCTGGTATCTCTGTAAGAGTCTATGTGTTTTCCTCTCTCTGGATCCATTCATTCTCTCTTACTAATAGATGATCAAAGAACAGGTAATATGGGACATGGAATCTAGGTAATGCTGTGATGGGGTGCTTTAGTAAATATGTAAAATCTTCAGTGGGCAGAGAGATCAGCAGATCACGTCAATCCAAACTGGGCATTGGTTCTGAGAATGGGAGAAAAGAGTTATCACTACAGGTGTCAAAAGTGTAAACTTTTTTTTCCAACTTGGAGGCTGAGAAGAGATTTACTAGAAGGAAGGAACAGGAATTGAGTTGAGAAGGGTCATTTTCTGAGATGGAAGTCTTACCTTGGGTTTCCCAGAAGACAGAGCCAGAGGCAGGGTGCTTATTACATATTAGGGAAGAAAATCTAGGAAATAGGAATAGGGACCAAGAGAAGTAGCAAAGGGAAAGGACAGCCAATATAAGGATGCCTTACTGTACTGGTCTCACTGAGTACGAGGGATCAACATGACAGAATTAAGTCTTTGTAGACCCCTATTTAGGGGAAATACGTGAGAAGAAATTATCTACTATCTCCTGTTGCCATGGGGAAGTGCTCCCCTGTACTTCCAGATGCATGTGTTGTGGGAGCCATAGCAGGGAAACCCCAGAGCAGGAGGCAAGACACAGTCACATTCAAAACCTATGTGGTGCTGGGCATGGTGGTGTTACATACCTGGAATCCCAGCTACTTGAAATGCTGAGGCAGGTGGATCTTGAGTTCAAAGCCAGCCTAGGCAGCATATCAAGAGCTAATCACAAAAACAAAACACAACAACAACAAAAATCTATGGAAGGCTGGAACAAAGAATGGGTGAGACTGAGAAGAACTGAAGAATCATAATTCAGTGGGAAAGCCTGCCTTGGGCTATAGAATACAAGGGGCAATACAGTGAATATTTAAATTTAAACAATTATTATAATAGGAGGCACACTGCCATTAATCTCCTACTAAATACTCTCACTTCAAACAAACTTAGCCCATCATTCTTGGCACTTTCTGAAGCAGTTTTGGAAGTCTTCTTTTGTGTCTTTATAAATGAAGTGTGCTAAAAAATACAGTTAATGCTGCTGCTTAGTATCATCCAACGAAAAGGCAGCCTTGCAAAAACATTATAATGTGTCTTCATCCTCATCCACCTTATTCACTGGCTCTGGCACTGTGGGACTTCTGGCTCATCCCTAAAGTCAACATGACGATGAAAGGAAAACTTTTTTAATTGATTCAGGATATGCACGACAGCACAACTGAAGACCTTCATGAAAGATTTCCAGAGCTGCTCCAGAAAGTGGCAAGAACAATGGGATAAGTGTGTTCAAGTCAAGAGAGAGGATTTTGAGGGGGTTAATGGAACTGTGACTTTGAATAATTTTTTTTTTTTTAAAAGTAAACATTCACTGTATTTTTTGATCACATATCATATTTCTTTTTGGATAAAATGAAGATTCCTTTTTCCAGTGAAGACAGTATTGTGGCTTCTGTATGCAGGGTTGTTTTTTTGATGCTATTATAAATGAAATTGTTTTCTTAATTTCATTTTAAATTGCTCAATTTTAGTATATAGAAACACAACTGATTTTTACACATTAATCTTGTATCTTTCAACTGAACTCCTGTTTTAGCTTTAATAGTTTGGGTTTTTTTTGGTACCAGGGATTGAACTCGGGACTTCGAGCTTGTGAGGCAGGTGGCAGAACCACTGAGCTAAATCCCTGGCCCTTTAATAGTTTTTTAATGTTTGAATTCCTTAGGGTTTTCTCTATGTATGATTATAACATTTGCAAATAAAGAAAATTTTAAGAAATTTGATTTTAAAGAAATAAAAAGCTAGATCCTCCCCCTGCCTCCCTCCTTGTCTGAATAACTTCCTAGATGCAACCATCTAGGAATCATTGAGTGGGTCTATTGGGAACTGTGTTACCTCAGGAAACCAAGGCCTTACCATAATTTCCCACATATAGATGGGATATATTTAAAAGAAGCAGAACCCCGAGAAGTTATGACTTCCTAATAGACCAGGATTACATAGCTTCAGTCAAAGAAGTCCTAGAAGTAACCAGGAACTTCGTGGAGAAGTGTAGTTCACCCCAAGCTGCTCCTGGGGCATGGCTCCACGTGGTGCCATGTGTCATTTCCCTCCTTTGAACAGTGATGATTTGAATGAGTCCCTCATCAGTTGAGATGAGGAAGGCAGGAACAGGTTTTAGCAATATGGTTGCAGGGGAGATTCCATTTGGGTCTCAGCTTGGGCCTCCTTCCATTGCACATGAGTGGAACGTCAGTGGCATCCAGTGGCCCGTCAGGCTAATCACAGGTTGGAGTTCTTTCCTCAAGCAGGAGTCTTTCCCCACCAAGTCCAGTAAAGGGCCAGTCTCCTTCATGATGAAGGGAAGTTGTATGATTGGCCTTGGATCCCTTGAGTTGCTCAATTCAGTATCTGAATCACAGCGTGACTGGTGATCAGCTGAGATAGCAGATGGACAGAGAAACTAATCTCCATTAGGATTTTTTTTTTTTGGTACTGGGAATTGAACTCGGGTCCTTGGGCTTGCAAGCCAGGTGGCAGAACCACTGAGCTAAATCCCTGGCCCTCCATTAGGATTTTTCCAAAGCCCATTGGTACATTTTGTGAGTCAACTCTCTTTTTCTATTCTAGAAATAATGACAGAAATTAAGAATGTATCAGTGTTTAATAACACCTGTCTGAGGTGGCAAATAAGCTCAGGAAGAATAATCTCCAAAATTATGTATGTGGTAAGTAGTGTCATCTACTTTTTTTCTGCTAGACCGGAAATGGTAAACCCATGGGACTGTGAGTCAGAAGGGCTTGCTTTTGTAAAAGCCTTTCATTTTCATTGCTTTCCAGTCCCATTGCCATTTTCAGAAGTGAATGACGTTTTAAAGATATCTGAATTGTGTGTTATTTTACACTTCATGTTTTAGCATACGGTCATTTGACATGGTGTATATATGTGTGTATATGAGGAGGGAGGGCTTTGTATTTGACATCATCATTTTTGCTTGTTTCCAAGCACTCATATTTCACTTTCCCAGAGCAAGCCTGGAAACATCTGCTGACTTGGTCACAGGATGCACAGGTGGCCTTTGGTTGTGACAGCCTCCATTTACTGAAGATCATTTGTGGGCAGAATGGCACTTCCTAGAGTCCTCATTTATGTCACTGCTTAGGGTTATTGGTTACAAGGTTGATCAGACTTCCTCATCAGATACCTGAGGGCAGAAGTGGGCCTTATGTATCCTCTAGGTTGAGCAGAGCAGGATGAGGTAGAATGGTAGGATTATTAGGCTCCAGTGCTGCAAAGTCTTTATTATTCTGACTAGAGTTGTGCTGGGCTGTCTTGTCCTTTCCTCTCCTAAAGATAAACCTAAAAGGACAACGGTCAGACCCTGTGGAATCAATTCATGAGGAGACAATCAACTTGACCACAGACAGCAGGACCCCGGAAGTGTGCCTCACCCTGTACCAAGGGACCAACTACACGGTGAACATTTCCACCGCTCCTCCCGGGCGCTCTGTGCCCGCCATCCTTGGTTTCCAGACAGCTGGTAGGTGGAGGTGGAGACTCATTTCCTGCTGGGAAATGCCCAGCACAGGATGTGGCAGTGAACTTCAGCATGAGCCAGGCAGGAGAGTTCCTGTTTTCTTTCTGAGATTTGTGGAGTATGGAGTTGCTCCAGGGGTCAGAAGCAGAGCAGATATAGTAGGGAAGTGCTTATTCTATCAGCAACAGGCTGAAAGGCACTGGTGGGGACTTCCTTGTCCTTGCCTGTGAGAGAGGAAGAGTCAGGGAGGCTGACCAAGCAGCTTCATGTTCAGGATGGGAGCAGACCCCAGGATTGATAGGGGGTGGAGAACTGGGTCAGGAGTGGGTGAGTGGAAAGGGGGAGGCAGTCGTAGGATGCAGGAGGGTCAGTGTTGTTTGAAAAAAAGGAGTGGACCCAAAGCTTTAAGAAGTAGGAATAAACTTCATTACATATAATTGTCACATGGATTTTTTAAAACAACATTGTAACAATTACAGGAAGTTTGTTTTTTAAAAATATAATTCTTACTTAATGATACCTTATAGACAAACCTGGAAAAACCATTGGTGTCATTTATGAGTTAACTAGCTCTTTGATGTCCCACTTAAGAAAATCTACATTGGTGGTGTGGTAGCACAGGCATGTAATCTCAGCTACCCAGGAGGCTGAGGCAGGAGGATTGTAAGTTGGAGGCCAGCCTGGGCAACTTAGTAATATACTGTCTCAAAATAAAATAAAAAGGATTGGGGATGTAGTTCGGTGGTAGAGTTTTTGCCTAACGTGCTCAGGGCCCTGGGTTCAATCCCCAGTACCACCCCCTCCCCAGTATACATATACATCCCAAATCTTAGATATTGCTGCCATTAGGCACTGAAAAGTGACAAAAATTGGACAGAAATAACTGAAAAGTCTGCCAGTTTTCAGTAATATAAAACCAACTATGAAATTACACAAATTAGGCCTCTTGGTATTTGTATATAAAATAAAAACAAAATTATTTCTTTTAAGCAAATAATATGTAGGAAAGATATAAAATTAATATGGAGGGCCAGGGATTTAGCTAAGCAGTTCTGCTGCCTGCTTTACAAGCGCAAGGACCCGAGTTTGATCCCTGGTACCAAAAAAAAAAAAAAAAAAAATTAATATGGAACTAAACTTTGTAAAATTAATAATAAACTACAGTGAATTTATAGGGATATATCTTCTTTAAAAAATCATCACAGGATCTCAAACTGGTCTGTCACTGTGAGTCAAAGGACAGCTTGCTGTTCAGTGTCAGCTGTTCTTTCTGATATCTGATTAACCCCTCAAGTGACTTTCCACTGGGAAGAGCATGTATCTAAAGTCAGAACCAGGAGCAAAGTCTCTTTCTGCCTTTACTCGACATCTGTTCCCATCTTCCCGTTTGTTTATGCATGGGAGTACATTTGTCATGCCCTTCCCCTGGATCCTGTACATTCTGTTGTTTGATTTCATTGCCAGGGTTATCCCAGTGCCCTTAAAATGAAGTGGGAAGTTTTGTATATATATTCACCCTAGAAAAGTTTCTGTCACTTTGGAATTACTCCCTTTCTTTAAACCTGGACAGATTTGCTCATAAGATCATGTAAGTTTCACCCCTTTGTGGAGATGATTCTTTGGCAACTTGGTCATTTTCTTTTTTCTTTTTTTTTTTTTTTAACTTGGTCATTTTCTTCCATGATCTTTGGTCTGCTTCTGTTTCCTAGATAGTCTGAGTTAATTTGTATAATTTATATTTTCTTTATTGTCTATTTGGTTGAGATTTTAAATGTATTGGGAAAATGTTATATGACATATTTGTTTACAACTTCTTTGGAGTTATAGGTTGTCTAACTCCAGGTTATTCTGATTTCTAATTTTGTTTTGTTCTCTTCTTTAAAAAGTATACTAGCTTGAGTTGCCTGTTTTATTATTATTTTCTTTTCCCAAAGAATGAACTCTTGGGTTTTAAAATTTTTTTCTCATTTTCGATTATTTTTGTCATTTCCATCTCCATGCTTCTCTTAAGTTGGTTGTATTGTTCTATTTTTTCTTTGAATTTTTTTTTTCTGTACTGGGAATTGAACTCAGGACCTTTCTCTTGCTAGGCAGGCAGGGTACCACTGAGCTAAATCCCTGGCCCCATACTATTCTATGTCTAAATTCTTGAATTGAATGCATAATTCAGCTTATTCCTGTTCTTTCTTGTTTGCTAATAAAATTCTCAGTGCTTCTTTCTGCCTTCTGGATTTGGATTTTCACAGACTTCCACAGACACACATTCTCTTTATCCTTACTTTCAAGTCATGATAGCATTGTTATCAGATTTTCCTTTTGGTTGAAAAATGATTTATGAGTATGTTAATATGTATTCCCTTTACCCTTATTTGCAAAGAATGGTATTGATTTTTCCCTTTGATTGAAGAGTTAATTATAATTGTGTCATAAAAGTGGTAGTTTTTTCTTTTTAATATTTATACCTTATTAATAATTTCTAGTTTGATACAGTTTGATATGCTCTGGGAAATTTATTGACATTTTCTTGGGCCTTACTTTCTGGCCATGTTTTGTTATTTCAGTAGGTGCTGGATAATGTGGTAGAACATTTAGATAGAGTTGGACTAAGATAATAGATTTTTTTTTTTTTGGTACCGGGGATCGAACTTGGGACCTTGTGCTTGCGAGGCAGGCTGTGGAATGATGAGCTAAATCCCCGGCCCCAAGATAATAGTTTTAAAACAACTTTATTGATAAAGATTCTCCAGATTTCTGTATTTACTTCTGTAATGGATTGCCATTTTTCTCTATTTCCCTTACATATTCTAGGTGGTTTATTTCACAAATGCTGATGTTACATAATTTATGTTCACGACATCTTAATTATAGATGCTTTCACTAGAAGTAAATGGTTCACTTTATCTTGTTAAATATTATTTGCCATAAATTGTATGTAATACTATTTTCTTGATTTCTTTGTGGTTATACTTACATAATATACTTTTGCTTTCGTTTTCCTTCTTAAAAGCTGTCTGGATAATATTGCTTTATGTGTACTCTAGGAATTAGCATATGCAGAGAATCTTTTTGAAGAAAGTTTTATTTATTTTTGTGTTTTTGACACACGGTCTCATTATGTAGTCCAGAGTGGCCTTGAACTAGCGATCCTCCTGCTTCAGCCCCCTGAGAGCTGGGATTACAGAGATGTACCATCATGTCTGGCTAAAAGTTTATTTATTTATTTAGTTATAAAGTTTTATTTTTATTTTTTTTTAATTCTTTTTTTTTTTTTTGGTACCAGGGATCGAACTCGGGTCCCTGCGCTTGTGCAGCAGGTGGTGAAACCACTGAGCTAAATCCCTGGCCCCTATAAAGTTTTACTTTTGAGTAGATAACAAGTTTACATTACTATTACTTGTGATATGATTTTCCTTTCTTTTTATGCTACTTTCCTATGTCTTTTGGTTTTCTCTTTTGCTACTGAGATTTCTTTTTCAGTGAGTCAGATATTACAGATTTTGTTTTAATTCTATAATTGATTACATTTTAAAAAGATCCTGCCAGACATGGTGGCACATGCCTATAGTCCCAGCACTTGGGAGGCCGAGGCAGGAGGATTGACATGAGTTTGAGCCAAACTTGGGCTACATAATAAGTTCAAGGGCTGTCTGAACTTCATAGTGAGACCCTGTCTCCAAAAAAGAAAAAAAAAATCCTGTTTGGATATGTATTTTTTCATTACCAGTGTTAAAACTGAAATAATGTTTACTTCTCCCTGAATAAGATTGATTGCTTTGCTTTTATTTTATTTCCTCCTCTCTTCCTTTCCTCATTCATCTAATCTGGCATTTTATTTTCAGCCTTTTAATTTTATGTTGATTTATAGCAATATTTATAGCAGTTATTTAATCTTATATATTTTATGTATCTTATGTATTTTAATAGTTTAAGTTCTTACTTTCAGTCTTTTTATGCACTTTCCCTATTTTTTCTCTATTATTTTTATTTATCTGTCTGGATGACAATTTCTAACTTTTCTTTACTGAGGAAATGGGGTATTTTCTGAGCCCATGATTTTCTGAGAGCGTCTTTTTGTTATCTTTATATATGAATGACAGCCTGATTGAAGATAAAATTTTTGAATCTTAAACTTTTGTTCTATGAATTCTAGAGGCAGTTCATATTGGCTTTGAGAATTTAAAGCTTTGAAAGAAGAGTTTGGAGGTGTGACTTCCTTCCTTCCTTCCTCCCTCCCTCCATCCCTTCTCCCCCTCTTTCTCTCTCTTCTCTTCTCTTTCTTTCTTTCTTTCTTTCTTTCTTTCTTTCTTTCTTTCTTTCTTTCTTTCTTTCTTTCCTCTCTCTCCCTCTTCCTTTTTTTTTTCTTTCTCTCACTCTTCCTCTTCCTCCTTTTCTGCCTGGAACCCTGTCCCTTGTGTATGCTGTGCATGTGCTTTACCCCTGACCTACATTGCCTGCTCCTCTTTTTTTCTTTAATAAAATTCTGTGTAGGCAATATGATTTTCAGCATCGATATCATAAAAACTTCCTTTAGCAGCAAAATTCAAGATATTAATCATTCATTCATGTATCTTACAAATATTTACTGACCACCCATTATAAGTTTGCCATTGCTACAGGCATTGGGAATTCAATAGTGAAATATCTTCCTTCATATTGGTCTGTGAAGGATACAAATGTTAATGCTTTTTACAGAGCTTTTTTAGTTCTCTGTAATAGGTTTTGGTTTCTCTGGATACCGGAAACATTTTCTTTCATTATATTCTTTTTTTTTTTTTTGGAGACAAGGTCTTGCTATGTAGTTCAGGCTGACTTTGAACTCACTGTGTAGACTAGGGTGGCCTTGAATTTGCAGTGATCCTCTTGCCTCAGCCTCCTAGGTGCTGGGATTAATTATAGTTGTGTGCTACCACTCATGGCTCTTTCATTACATTTCTTTTTTTTTTTTTGGTACGGGGGATCAAACTCAGGTCCTTGCACTTGTGAGGCAGGTGGCGGAACCACTA